GCCTTGGACTCTCAGATTTCTGTATTCCCGAGTCCTAAGATTAAAGGTGTGTACCACCACCTCCTAACTTCTGGCTGATGGAATTAAAGGTGTGTTCCTGGCTTCTATGGCTCGTGACTGACTCTGCTTTCTGAATACTCAGGCAAGCTTTATTTATTTATTTATTTATTTATATTATTTATTTATTTTTAGTTTTTCGAGACAGGGTTTCTCTGTGTAGCTTTGGAGCCTATCCTGGCACTCACTCTGAAGACCAGGCTGGCCTCGAACTCACAGAGATCCGCCTGCCTCTGCCTTCCGAGTGCTGGGATTGAAGGCGTGCGCCACCAACGCCCGGCTGCTTTATTTTTTTAAGATTTATTTATTATGTATACAGTAAGTCTGCATGTATGCCTGCAGGCCAGAAGGTACCAGATCTCATTATAGATGGCTGTGAGCTATCATGTGATCACTGGGACTTGAACTCAGGACCATTAGAAGGGCAGACTGTGCTCTTAACTCTTCAGTACACCCCACCCCAGGCAAGCTTTAATAAATAAGTATATCACCACATATGGAACAATAGTAAGTAAACTAGACCAGATACAGAAAGATAAATAGAACATTTGTTACTCCTACAAACTCCTACAAAGTGGCCACTACAAACTGAAGGGCAGAAAATAAGGAAGGGACCCCCTACAGATAGGCAGGATTCTGTATTTTGTTTGCTTTTGTGTGTAGATGAGTGTGGTGGTCAAATTTGGGGGATCTGCCTTCTACCTTGCTTGAGGTGGGTGGGTCTCTTGTGTGCTGCTGTTGAACTGTTAGGATTAGGTGGGAGGGCTTACTGTCTCATTTAGCCTTTAACCATTATGCATTGAGAACATCTGTCAAATTATACTAAGCCCCTGAACATGTTAAATATTGTATTTCAGTAGCTACAGTTTAAGAAAACCCAATGTTTTGACTCAAAAAACCTACTTGTGCTCTGTCTTAAGTTACTTTTCTGTTGCTGTGTAGACAACATGACCAGGACAACTTAAAGAAGAAACAGTTTATTGAGAGCTTACAGTTTCAGAGAATGAGTCCATGACCATTATGGTGGGGAGCATGGCAATAGGCAGACAGGTTGTGCTGGAGCAGTAGCTGAGAGCTTATATCTTGGTCCATAAACACTAGCTAACTGGGAAGGGTGTGGGCTTTTAAAACCTCAAAGCCCACCTCTGTTAACAACACTCCCAGTGACACACCTGCAAGGCCACATTGCCTAATCTTTTTCAAAAGTACCATCAGGTGGGGACCAACCACTAAAATACATGAGCCTGTGTAGACCATTCTCATCCAAATCTCCACTTGCTCATGTGGAGTAAATAAAATATATAATGGATAAGAGTGCTTAATATATAAGCAAGAGGACCTGAGTTTAAATCCCCAGCACCTATATAAAAGCTAGGCATGGCCATTTCAAATTGGTTAACCGGCCATAGAATTCCCACATCCAGTGGTCTCCATCCTTCAACCTCAAATATGGGGTTATCAGCAAGTATAGCTATGTTTTTAGTTGGCCATGGTTGAACATGCTTTGTAATTACAACACTTGAGAAGTAGAGAGGCAGGAGGATCACTACAAGTTTAAGGTTAGATAAGGGTACATAGTGAGACCCTGTCTCAAATCTCTAGGTATTTGGGGACCTCTGTCCAGAACTGGGGTAGTATTAGACTAGTGATACATTTTGTACTAAACTACCGGGTGACATAGTGTTCAGCCAGTGTTCTCATCTTTATAGCCTGGAGGTACAGAATTAAACTTCTCCCAAAGTTTGTCTCCATGGCCTATTCCTTGCAAGATATTTTTGTGTCAGCAACTCTAGTATGTCCCTCCCCACAACCCGCCTGTTTTTAATGCTGTATTTTTACATTTACACAACACTTGTGACAGCGGTGATTGTCTCTTTGCCAACTTATTCTCTAGTTTTGTGCAAATGCCTTCTGGGTATCCTGATTTCCCTTTCAGTCCTGTATCATCAAATTCTACTTGATGAAGGGCTGGGTTCCACAAGACTGTCCCAGTTCCCAGTCCTGAGAGTCCTGCATTTCTGGTGACTTGTAACAATTTAAGGGGTGTCTTATAACAATCCCTTCTTTGCTATACTCATTAAAAACCAAAGGATGTGATGGATAACAGCCAGCTGTTTTTAAGGTGTTGGTGGGGATTCTGTTTCTAGGTAGAGTACACTACTCACTGAGCACTTGTATCAAATCTCAGTGCTGTTACTTGCAGTGTTAAACTCTGGTTCTTCATGGTTTCTAAAGCTATGGGTGGATTTTGAAAATGTGTGCCATTGCCACTGAGTCCTTCCTGAGATGGCACTGAGTTCTTCCTCTTATCTCAGTAGTTTATATTCAACTGTGAACAAAAGAAAGTAAAAGACAGGTACTTCTGTCATTCAAGGAACTGCAAGTGACTTTGTATTATTCTTATTATTATTATTATTATTATTATTATTATTATTATTATTATTATTATTATTATTATTATTATTATTATTATTATTATTATTATTATTATTATTATTATTATTATTATTATTATTATTAGAAACCAGGGACAAGGGTCAAATAATATTTTTCTCTTTTTTGTTCTTCTGGCTAGGCTAGCACAGCCATAGACAACACAGGGTCCTGGAAAGGAGGGCAGTGGTAGACTATGACTCTGGCTTCGCTTCAAGAATGAGTAAGTTTTGTTTTTCCACAGCTGTTTCTATAGCAGTTTAGGTACCTACTAAAGATAGAATTGAATGCAAGTCCCCTTTGTCCCATTCCCTAAGTTCCTCTTCCACACTTCTCTGTTCTTGTGGTCTTATGTG